GTTTTTTTTTGCAATTTATCCACCTTTTGCAACCCACCTTATGTATGTAAGTCTGCCAAAATTTTTGGACGGACGCGTATGGAATTTTTTAATTGGCCAAAATTTTGAATGAATGAAAAATAAAAATTATTCTTTTTTTTCCCTCGATTCTTTTCAAAATAATCTTTATTGGTTACATATCAATTATTTATTTCATTCATTCAAATACAAACAAACATATGGTTAAAACTTGAATTAAAAAGAAATAACAAAAAATTGGCAGAAACCATGATTACATCTAAAATTGTTTGATAAATTTTTTTGTTAAACATTTTTATTTTTTGTAAAATGTCACGTGTAACGCTTGCATAAAATTTTTTTTTTTGAATTTTAAAACATTTTAATTATGTAAAATGAAAAACGAAATATAAAAAAAATTTTTCTGTAATCAACTGAAAGCATCTACGTACGACTACACATGTATTTCTTAAATAAGAACAAAAAAAAAATTAAACAAATTCTTGGAACGCCACATACATAACTATATATGTATATATAGTTATGCAATTTAAGAAAAATCAAATTTAATGATTTATTTAGCACTTCATCGAGTTAAAAGACAAGAGACATTTGGCAAATTTTAAAAAATTTTTAATTAAATGAAAATGACACTCCTATAATGAATATTTAAAAATATTCTCTATAGTTTTTTATACGTAAATTTTATAAGACAAGAAAATAAAATATAAACTTTACTAAACGTCATACTTGAATTTTATATTATTATTCGTACGATATAATATAACTAGATGTTGGTTACATAAATTTTCTATTTCGTTTGTGCTGGTTAGAATTAATGCTGAAAAATACATTTCTGCTAAACGTTTACATGCGAGTTTATTTACTTATGTCCCTCTGTCTATCTATAACAATGATGATTTAAAAATTTATTGAGCTAAGCTAACTAAATTTTCAGAAACGATTTATAATAGAAAAAACTATATGTAATCATATTTAATTGTAATGTAATTAAATTAATGGTTCAAACATTTACCATACAATTTGAAAAGTAATCTGCCAATACTATTGAAACTATAGACTATAGGTATAGTGTTCAAACTTTGAACATATGAATAACCCATAATTATAACATTAGCGTGAACGCGTTCAACTCATTTGCTTTAATTTTAATAATACATTAAGTGTAATATTGTACATTTATACAACATTTTTAAAAACTTTATTTCGATTACTATATTATTTGCTTTATTCTTAATTCAATCTTAAATCACGCGAAAATGCGTGATTAATATGTGACATTGTATGAAAATTTTAGTAAAATGATGTTGTTGAAATCTGAATTACACAAACAATTCATTACTTACAATATTAATTTTATTAGTTTTTCATATTTTATCCCAACTTATTACCCAGCCCGTTATAATAACGATTTTGTATTTAAGCCTTTTCTTTTCGAAAGAATATGGTTTCCCAAAAAATATAGTTAAATATTTTGAGACATACTTTTCTCATTTTAAATTACATTACTGCATTATGAATGTAAATATAGAAAATTCAAATATATACATACATTCATACAGATTTTAAATTTATGCTTAATGTTTATGAAAATGTTGGTCCAACTGAATTCATATGAAGAAAAATAATTTAAGCAAAATGTTAACTGCAACACGCCTTTAGGTTTTAGGACCATAAATTTTTTTAAAAATTTATATGAAAATTTGATCCGTACGCAAACGATTTTGGATATGGATCAAAATGCATCCCAAATCGAATTTTAAGAGGAGGTGGATCAAAATGACATCACCGTATCTAGGAAACTAAATGAGATAGCGAAAATCTGATTACATATACTGCAAGATCATCTTCGAAAACCTATGAAAGTGGTCTTAAATCAGAAATGTCGAAAATGGCGTATGGATCAAAATGGCACTCAGTCAACGGTGTGGCTTCGGGGATTTTCGATAATTCAAACGTGCACTCAAAGTTTTAAATCTTAAGTTTTTTCACACATACATATTTATAAATTTGCAGAAATTGAATTTACTTCTTGATTTATAATATCCTCGGGTAATACTTCAATATCCAACTTTTTTCTATACTCTATAACTTCTATAACTTCTTCTATACTAATTTCTAATATTTTTGCAGCAACTATACTAAAGCTTAAAAATTCCTTTAGAACTGTAAATATACCAGTCACTTTCGAGTATCCTATTTTAGCAGGTTTTGGAAGCTTGAATTTATCCAACGTGCTTTATATTAGGAACTATAGAGCTGAGTTTTCGAAATAATCCCCTTTGGTTAAAATATGGCTTTAAGAATTTAGGTAACTTTTTTAAGCGAAACTTAATGTAAATTTAATGAAATCCTACCGTACCTCACTTTAGTTCAAATTTTTGAAACTTGGCATGTACTTATGTATATATGTAGTTGCTAAATTGTATATTTGATATGATTCAACATGTACATTTGGATGTTTTCGACATTTTGGTATATAAATTTTTTTAGTTGTGATTTCTTGTTTTTTAAAGTTTTAAAGATGAAGCCACAAAATGAAATGTTTAAAAATATCGTATTATTTCCAATTAATTGAAATATAAATTTAAATTTTTTATTAAAGTAATAATAAAATTCAAAAGAAACTTACTCTAATAAATCCTCTAAAGTCTAAATCCGACATTATTTTATTTTAAATATCAAATAGTTTTTGCAGGAGTAAAAACAAAACTGAGTTTTTGCGCGTATATTTCAAAATTCTTAAGTCTTATAAAAAAACTACAAAAACAGTACCAAATTGCCACACATTTTTTTGCAACAGGTGCAGTACTTCATTGCCAAAAATACTACACATTTAGTACTAAGTTAGAAGCGAGTTATTAAAAACATAGTTTTTATATTGAAAATTGCTTGTTAAACAAAATTTCAAAACAAAACTCAAATAGAGATTGCTTTAAAAACTACAACTAAAAGGAAAATTTTTCAGAAATTTTATGAAAGATTTTATTTTTAATTACAAATGTAATGATTAATGGAAAAATCAAGCAAAGCTAGACAATAAATTTTGCCGAATTTTTAGACGTACTCAAATCTACTGATGAGCCCAGTCACTTGAAAGAAGAAAGCAACCTCAAATTAATTTAACAAGCTCAATATGGTCCAATAATTAAAAAAACTTTTAATAAATTATTTTAATTTTTTTTTCATATATGTACTGCATTTGCAGAAAAATCCTTAATTTGATAACAAACCACTTTTGATTAGTGTTGGGAAATTTAATATTTACATTGGAATACGTATAAAATAAAAAAAAATAAAAACCGATTATATTATTGTTGGCCATTTTTAAATTCCTTTTCAAAAATCTAAAAAATCTCTAATCAAAATTACTGGCTATAAAAGCTTTCTAACCGCATGTTTAGTAAGCTTCATTTTTCAATTAAAACAAATATTTCTAAAGATTTTTATAAATGAAACAAAAATAATAATTTATTTCTTTTTTAAACAGTTTTGCTAAAAGCTTTTATCATATTTTATCATCAAATCGTTTATTTCGTTTTATATTTTGGTTCGTTTCTTACTATAACTAGGAAAAAAAATCTACTAAAATCAACTAAAAAGAAGTCAGTGTTTTTGTTTTCTTTTTTTGCTTTTTTTTTTTTAATACATATAGTATATATTTTATTTCACTTTTATGTTTCATAAATATGTTGTTTTTTTCCATAAACTCATTTCATATAAATATAATATATAATTTTTCTTGTTTTATAAGTATTCAAAGTTTTTCAGTTACGTTTTTCTTAAACTTTTCAATAATATTCTTTACAAAACATCAAATTAGATTACAAAGGACACAATTGGTTAAATACCATGGAAATAATGAAACTTTTTTTTATTGTATTGAAATTTGGAAAATATAATAGGTTTAAAAAACAAAAAATACCCATTATACATAAATATTTTAATATATGCAATTATAATTTAAGCAAAAAAACTTTTGTTCAAAAGACATTTATATGCAGCCGCCAAGGACTAGATTATTATTTAAATTAGAGCCTATTATAATTATTAGCAAATGATTTATTATTATACATTTGAATTAACAAAAAAATGATAAACTAAATTCTAAAGTAATTTTAATCAAACAAAAACGTAATTCAAAAAAAAATAAACTGTGATCTACTTAGTTATATAAGAGTGCTATATACCAATAAATGGTTATGGAAAAAATTAGAAATTTATATACAAGTATTTTTGTTTCAATTTTCTCGTTAAATATTGAAAGCGACTGCTTTTTAAAACCTTAATTTTCCATGGTTAATACATAATAATAACATAATTTCAAATGGTAAAATCATAAAATCAAAATAAAGTAATACAAATTAAAATAATAATACAATTAAATAATTACAGTGAAAATAATTTAAAAAATGACTCATGATTTTTTTCTATTCTTAATTTTTTTTTTGTTTTTTTTTTAAACTAAATTTATTACATTTATATTTTTCTTTTATACTATTATAATTAATGTTTTATATAGTTTGATTTTGTTTTTTTGTTGAAATGTAGTAAAAAATAAATAAATAATAATAGCTTTTATTAATAAAAACATATCTAAGTCTGCTTTTAAATTACAAGAAATCATAAATATTGATTACTTTACACATTTTACTTTTCTATTAATTTCTAAAATATTATTTAAGCATTATTATGATAAAAATTTGTTTGTAGTTTTAAATTTATGAAAATATTTCTAAAAACATTTTTAGTTTATTTTCTATTTATTTTAATATTTTAAATTTTTAATAATAACTTGAAAGATTTTAATAGTTTGCTATTTCTCCTATTAACTTTCTTTTTGCTTAATAATATTTTTTCTTGTTTAAATTCAATAATATTTAAGTTTAAATTTATGTTGTTTTTTTTTTCAAAATGATCAACTATTAAAAATAAATTTCTTTTCTTCAGTATTTATCTTATCTTTTTTTTTTTTAAATATCATACAAAAAAACAAAGGTTGAAGTATTACTTTAATTCAAAAAATCATGTACTATATTATGTAACTCTCTATTGTGTTGTGCTTTAGATCCAGTAGCAGTAGATGCTCCAGTGGGTCTTCCAACGTATCTATTATTTGTTTTTTTTTTTTTTTGTATTAATTAAATGGTGTCAGTTGGTGAAGTGTTAAAGTATTCCCATGATCAAATATTTATTATTGTTATCCAAATTGAAAGTTTATCAAAGTTATTATAGTAACAATGATTTTGTAAAACGTAAACATTGCATTAAAAAAAAGAAAAAGAAAATAAATTGATTATTATATATTCCAAAATAGTAATTCCATTAATTATCTAACAGTTGCAAAATATACAAAAAGAACTTTTTGAATGTATGAATTTTAATATACATGAGAATTTAAGAGAAAAACAAAAAAAAAACCTAAAGTGATGAAATTATATTTTAAATAATATTGCGAAAATAAAGAACAAAAAAATAAATAATGAAAACAAAAAATAAAACTAATAAAAAAAAGAAATATTTATAATAATAGTAAAAAAAGAAACTCTTAATAGAATAGGTACAAAAAACACACATCACTTTATAGAGATAGAAGAATTTAATGTACAAACGCTATAGTACAATATATTTGTATGTTTTTAAAGAAAGTCAGAATCTCAGCATTTACATACATAATTATCTGCCGGCATTAATTAGTAGAAACTTAAATAAAATATTTATCACATAATAAACAACAAAAAAAGAACACCATGCCAAAAATTGTTTTCTAAAACATTCAGAAATAAAATTCCATATTCCATTTTAATTTTCAATCTTAAAATTTTACATACACTCTTTTAATTATTGTAAGTAATGGGATGGGATTCCTTAAATAGAGTTTTCGAAACGGTCTATGAATTCGAATTTTTGTTTGGCAATAAACACAAGACATAAATAAGTTATTTAATAATACAAAATGCACACAATATTAATGATTATTGTTTCTTTCATAATGAATTATGCTTCTTAATTTGAATCGTAGCAAATTTTCATAATTTATCATACATTTTGAACAATATTATGAATATTAACAAAAAACGAAATTATTATGTAAGTAAATACAAGAAGTTTTTTCCTTCTGTAATAATAACTCGAAAATTTTAAATTTTTTTTTCTTTCTTGCATTTACAAAAATATGAAGTTTCTGAGAAATATAATAATAATTAACAAAAAATATAAAATACTATGAACTGAAAATAGATTATAGTTCAAACTCATTAAATTAATTTACACTACTATGTCTGTTTCATTAAAATATTTTGAAACTTTTTAAATAAAACAGTCAATACCAACATACAATTTAGTTTATTTGATCTTAAATTTGGATTTTTTTTTCATTTAAACAATATTTCTCAGAAATCAATATAAAATAAATACAAAAAAAAGGGTATATGCAATGAGAAAAATACAATGAAATGAAGAATAAAATATAATTTAAATGTTACAAAAATAATAAATAAAATAAAAAATTAAATAAAAAGAAAATAAAAGCAAAAATATTTTGAATTTCTTACATAAAATGTGAAATAAATTGGGTAAAGTATGTTATGAACAAGATGTACACATATAATTTTCTTTTTTTTTTTTCTAAACTTTTCAAATTTCTTCTAGTTTCTATTTCAATGGGCCAATTAATTTTACTACTAAAAATTAATATAATGAATGAATTTGTTTGCATAACTTGAATGTATTGCATATTGAATATTCAACTAAACGCCGTTTTTAATTTTAGAACGTGGCAATTGCAATGAGTGATGTTTTAACAAAGAAAAAGCGAAACTACTATGTTGCAAGGGTTTATTGGAAAGAATTTATATTGATGTAACGAAGTAGTTGAAAAATATATTAAGGAATTAGTGGAAAAATGTTTTTTAAATTTTTTCATATTTAGTTATTTTTAATTTTATTTTTTTTTAAGAGTATTATTAATAAATTGAAATTTTAATTACTTGCAAAAGTTAAAAAATTGAATTAATAATAGCAAAATGAACGATTGATTTTATTAACATCCATTATACCAGTTGTTTTAATTTTATAATATTTACGAGGTATTAAGGAATTTTCATTATTGAAATAAAATTTTAATAAATTACTATATATCATTAGAAAAAGTTAAAATAAATAAAAGGTTTTCAATTTATTATTTAATTAATTAATTTTGGAATTTAAAATTAAAATGAAAAATATAAAAAAGTTAACCTTTTAGACGTAGAATTAATTATATTACGAATCTATAATCTAAAATTATGTTATGGAAAAAAAACCCATAGTATATTTACATTAGAATTTTTTCAATTTAATGCAATTAATAGGAGAAAAATCAACATTCTAGGAACATTCAATAGTTATTGTTTGAGTTAAAAGTTTTATTAATGAAAGAATATGAGAAACGAATAATTTATTAAATAGTTATGCACACTAATTCATTCTTATTAATCTGATTTTTACTATTATCAAGAATTTTTAAATATTATATTTAATAAAGAGATGTTAAAAGGTTAAAAAAAGTTCTTTTCACAAATGTCTACAAAAAATGCATCATTATAACGAACAAAAAAAAAATAAATTTTTATTTAATTTGAAGTAACGAATCTTTTCTTCCTAAAACATTTTATGATGAGAATTATTTCTATGTTTGATTGAAATTTTATGCTGTACAGATAGCAAACACAGAAAAATTGTTTTGAAAATAATATCAAAATAGTAAAAAATTTAAGAAACTTGATTTATGAAAACTTTTTCAAAAACATTACATATAAATTTCCTATCATATACTTGATTTTGAAGACATATGCTCATTCAAGAATCTTAAATAATATTTCAAACTAATCTAAGGCTCTAGGAAAATTATTTCAAATTTGTTTTTTGAATAAAAAATGAAATTCACTCACAGTAAGGCTTTTAAATGTTTAAAATTAAAATTACTGTAAACGTGCGTATAAGCAAAAACGGGTTTAATTTTCTAATTATTATTATTATTTTGTAATTAATAACAATGCATAAGTAGGAGTAGTTTTGATCAATGCAAACTATTTTAATACATAATCTCTTACGAACAGTCCGCGTAAATTCTTTTATTTTTTTTTCATTTATCAAAAAACAACTATCCTAAACATTCTTGTTTTAAACCAATTAATTATGAAAGCAATGCAAAATAACAATAAACGAAAAAAAAAATTTTTGTATGATACATTTTTTGTAATTATTTTTTAAGCTTTTTTTTAAGAAATAAAATTAAAAAATTATAATAAAAACACATCTCATATAATAATAGCTAATTTTTTTTATATATGTATATATAAATATATTATATTTGTGTAATTATATTGACCCATATAATAATGTATTATATAAATACATCCCCTCACCTAATTTGCCTTCCATTATTAACTTTAATTATGTTTGCTGAGGTATCATCAGATGATGGTTTATTGAAATCAACTCGTATGCTAAAATCACCAGCCTTTGCAGGTCTCAAAGGATCATTTGTTTCGTCAGCACTGGAGAAAGAAGAATTTGATTTTTTTGGTGAAAATAAACGTTTCAACCATGATCCTTCACTACTATTACTACCTCCAGTATTTCTTTTACTATAACTATTATTAAAATTATCTATTTTACTGGCGGTAGACCTAGAATTTAGAGTTTGATTTTGATCACTTCCTGCCAGATTATTGGGTCTGTAACACAAATTTTTTTTTGGTGTTTCATTTTTTTTTTTGATATCATGATCACACAATGACACTCATACCGACAAAATATAAATGTTTTACATATTTTTTAGCAAAAAAAAGGAAACAAAAGTAAAAAAATAGGTGCCAATTAAATACGGTAGACGCGAAAGGATTAAATTTTAGCAAAAATTAAATAGAAAAATTCAACCACGATATGATATGAAAACTAAAATAATAGAAAATTTTAAATAAATACAAAATTAGAATTTAAAAATAATAAAATGATTATTTATAAAAATCTGAATGTTAAGATTTACAGCATAACTGAAAGAATAAATATTTTATTTTTGTAACCAGATTTAAGGTTTGTAGGCCGAAGCGTTGATTAAACATATGTGTAACTTTAAGATCCTGCTCTAATAAATTTACAATAATAATACGCATTAAGTATTTACCATTATAACCTTCCAAATAGTTACTTTCATTCTACATTTATTTTACATTTAATTTGTTTATTTTTATCAAAAATCACCCTTACCTTTTAATTACTCTTAACTTTTATTTTTAGTTTTACTACATTATGAAGTATCATAATATTATTTTTTAACGATTGAAATAAATGATTAATTATATTCAAATAATTATCCTGGCTTTCATATCAATTTCTACAATTAATCATAAAGCTTTTGTTTTTATTTTTGATTTTTAATTCTTACTATCAAAACAAAAATGAAAACAAAAAATCAAAGCACAAATTTTTAAAAATGACATTTTGAATTTTTACAATATGAGGTGAGTTTTTTTTTTAATTAAAAAACAAAATAAGCGTGATGAAACAAATTCAAAAAAATTGTTCGGACTTGACATTGGTTTAAAATTTTTTGAGATTTTGATTTTACGCGTTTAATTCGCGTCCCTCACTTTTTAAAATATTTGCACCTATTACTACAATAATATTACATTTAAATAATTTTGCAGTTTATTTATATCATCATTTTTAGGAAATATAGAAATGCAACATAAAATAGAGAAAATAAGGTAGGAAACAGAATAAAAAAATCAAAATCCAAGTACCAATATATTTAAAGAAAAATCGGGAAATTTTATGGTTTCTTATATTGAATAATTCGAAAGCCAAAGAAAACAATTTAATAATAACCAATTATAAATAAAAATTAAGAAAACTAATATTATTCAAAAATTAAAACCAAATCAATACTTAATTTTGCAACGTGGATGTGGAAAAAAAACTTTAAAAGAAAAAAAAATATAAATTTTATTTTCTTTGCAACTGATTCTATTGATAAAATATCGTGTCTATCAATATTATATCTAATCAATTGCAGTTTGAAAACATCAACAAAAAAAATACTATAAAAAATCAAATTTAAAAATCCAGGTCCAAACCAAATAAAACTTAACAAGAAAAATAAAATCAAATTATATAAAAAAAGTATACAATTGTAAATACTCACTTGATATCCCTCGCTCCGCATAAAGCTGTGATAATTCTTGGATGCACATACGACCAAGCACCTTGATTTTTGTGTTCTTCTTGAGCCCAAACTATTTCAGCGTTCTTGTATTTTTCAGCTTCTTTTTTAACCAAATCGAATGGGAAGGGTGAAATCTAAAATATAATTATATTTTTGTTACACCTGATTATATTTTGTTTTAAAATATTTGATATTAGTGACTATGCCGATTCACAATCACCGATGTATAATTATAAATATTTGGGATCTAAAACCTGATCGTAAAAATTTTAAGAAAATAACAATTCTTACTTGTTCAATTCTAGAAATTGCAATATCTTTTTCCAATTTATTTTCAGCACGAGCTTTAGCTAAATCATAATAAACTCTGCCAGTACAAAAAACTAATTTTTTTACGCTCGATGCATTTTCACTTGCTGGACCACTGTCAGAGATGACGCGTTGGAACTCCGTGCCTTCTACCATGTCGTCAAATGTAGATCTACATTCAGGAAGTCTCAACAATGATTTTGGAGTCATAATAATAAGTGGTTTACGGAAAGGTAAAGCAATTTGTCTTCTTAAGATGTGGAAATAATTAGCTGGTGTTGAACAATTAGCAACAATCCAATTAATATCGTGTAATTGTCTAATAGCAAATTCATCGGACTCTGGCGGGAAATAATCTGGATCGTCAGATGACATTTGCAAGAACCGTTCTAAACGAGCGGAGCTATGTTCAGGTCCCATACCTTCCATACCGTGGGGTAATAACATAACAAGACCTGACTGACGTACCCATTTTGCTTGACCACTTGATATAAATTGATCAATAATACATTGAGCGGTGTTCATGAAATCACCAAACTGGCCTTCCCATAAAACTAAGGCATTTGGATTAGTCATTGAATATCCATGTTCAAAACCCAGAACAGCTACCATAAAAAATGTAAAAAAAGTTTTTAGTCATTTTAAAATTATTCTTTAAATATAAGCTATTTAAAGCTTTTATATCTTACCGTATTCAGAAAGTGAGCTGTTTGAAACAGAGTAAGGTGCTTGATCAGGATATAAATGACAAAGTGGAGTATAAGTGGCTTTGTCGACTTTTTGATGGTGCAAAACATGATGACGATGAGAGAATGTGCCACGTTCTACATCTTGACCTGACAAGCGTACATGGACGCCTTCTTTAAGAAGTGAGCCGAAAGCCATAGCTTCACCAAGAGCCCAATCTACAATACGTTTGTCAACCATTTCCTTACGAGCAGCCAAAACTCTCATCAAGCCTCTGAAATGTTTAATTATTTTTATTATTCTAATTAAATTAATAAGAATATAAGATAAATTTTTGATAACTTAGGTTAAACATACTTGTGAATCACGAATTCAGCTGCATTTGGTGGAGGCGCTGAAAAACGATTGCCAATATGAATCAAAGTTTCTTCTTTTACACCAGTAGGAGAAACGCAGAGAGGGTCCTTTCCTTCAAAGAATCCAGACCACGGAGAATCAATCCAATCCTTGTACTACAATTAAAAATTAAATTAACGTAAATTTCTTATTTCTTTTTCTGTTTAAATACGTACTTTGATATGTGTTTCCTTTTTAGCTAGTTCGAAAGCCTCTTCGCAAATTTTCTCATATTTATCAGCCACAGATTTTACGTCATCTGCGCTTACAACACCTTCTGCAGTAAGTTGATCAGCATAAATTTGTAGAGCTATAATCAAATTTAAATAATTAATATTTTAAAAAATTAATAAAAAAAAAGTTATTCATACATGTTTTATGTTGACGAATCTTTTGGTACATAAGTGGTTGAGTAAACATTGGTTCATCAATTTCATTGTGTCCGTTTCTACGATATCCAACAATATCGATAACAATATCTTTATGGTAAGTGGATCTCCATTCAGCTGCTACTTTGCAAACATGCATTACAGCTTCTGGATCATCACCATTAACATGGAAAATTGGTGCATTGACAACTCGAGCGACATCAGTACAATAAGGTGATGAACGTGAAAAACGTGGATCAGTTGTAAAACCAATTTGATTGTTGCAAACAATATGAATTGTACCATGTGTAGTATAATCAGGTAATTCTGATAAATGCATTGTTTCAAAAACAATGCCTTGACCGCAGAATGCAGCATCACCGTGAATCAAAATGGACATTACTTTTTTACCTTCATTATCACCACGATAGAATTGTTCAGCTCTTGTTTTTCCTTGGACAACTGGATCAACAGCTTCCAAATGTGATGGATTTGCAACAACAGCTAAACGTATATTTTTGTTTGTGACACGATTTAATCGCTCAATATATGTACCCAAATGATATTTAACATCACCAGAACCATCATCAGCTGCTTCTAATCCAGCAAATTGTGTAAAGATTTGATGTAAAGGTTTACGACAAACATTTGCTAAAGTATTTAAACGACCTCTATGAGGCATTCCCATAATAATTGATTCAACACCCAATTCAGTTGATGTGTCGATTAACTGTTTCAAAGCTGGAATCATCATTTCACAGCCTTCAAGACCAAAACGTTTTTCTGATGAAAATTTCTTTGCTAAAAATGCTTCAAATCTATAAAAACAAAGTGTTAGTGTTACTCTTATACTATATACTTAATTAAAAAAAAAAAAAAATTACCCAGTTGCTCTAGTTAAACGGGCTAAAATTAAACGTTTTTCTTCTGGTGAAAAACTTAACACTCCAGGTGATTCAAATCGTTTTCTAATCCAATTACATTGTTCCAATGAATTGATAAACATAAATTCAACACCAATTTTATTACAATAAACACTTTCTAATCTATTTAAGATTTCCCTGAAAACACAATTCAAAAAATATTAATCTCTGGCAAAATAAAATTATTTTAATAATCATACTTAAGAGGAAGGGCTTTTTCATCTCCTCCAATGAATGTTGTACTTGGGAGTTTAAATTGTCGCTCCATATCTTGCTCACCTATTTTTTTTTTTTTGAATTTTTGATTTTATAATTGAAAAAAAGAAAAAAACTTGTATTAGAGATACACCCACATGAATTTTAACAAATTAAATATTTAAAAATATAATATAAATATTTGAAGTTTACGTAAGAAAACATTGAAATTCGGAGATTTTATTTTTAATAAAATACAAATTGAAGAGTTTTTTTATCAGACACATGCAATACAATTTAAGTTTTAAATATTGAACACATACCAAAAAATTTAGATACACATAATTAAAATAAAATTTTTTTTTTTTGCAAAAACTATTTTATATTCAAGTAAATTCAATACATTTTATTTAGTATACTATGTATGTATATTTTCTTTCAAATTTTTTCATATAATTTGAAATATCAATTGTTTTTCTTTACTTTAATTTAACATATGAATGTTCATTTACTAATTTTGCATAAAAACTAATTTTATTATTCATACACTATTTTACGACAGCAATTTTAATATCTGATTAATTTATATCACTTAAATTAATCACTTATTTTTTTTAACCGAACATAATAATTTTGAAATTAATATTTTGATATGAATTCAAATGAAAAACATAACATTACTTAATACAATATTGAATTAATATTAAGATTAGTTAATATTAATTTGAAAAAAAGAATAAACAGTAATTATTTTTATCTAAATCGACTTCAAAGACATTATATGAATTTTTGAAATTAATTTTTTGAAAAACTCTATTAACTCTAAAATTGTAATAGAATTAAATTAAAAAAATTTGTATCAATAAGGAATGATAGTTTGTAATTAAAAGTAGTAAAGACTTTAGAACACCATTTGAAAAAAATCAAAGAAAAATTTAAAAATAATAAAATAAATTTAAAATACTTGCAGTAAAATAAAATTTAAGTAGTCTCATCAACAAAAAAAAAAAGATAAATTCTGTTGTTTCCACTTCAGACTTTTTCATGCTTGCAGTTCAGACTTCGAATTACAAAATTTAAAAAATTTCTGAAGCTTTATATAAAATTTTTTTTGTTTTTGTACACAATGTATATTAACACCAATATTTTTATTATATAGCCAAATTATATAAACTACTTGACAACAAAAAAAAAAATAAAAATATGACTATTTTTCTAGGTTTATTTTTTATACAATTTTTTAAAAATAATAAAATAATATTTACAACTCGAATTTCAGTTCATGCAAATTTCGAGAATCAACAATTAAATTTTTACATAATTATGTATACAATTTTACATTTACATTCAAATATTTTAATGTTTCTTCATTGATTATTTAATACTTTTATATTTTTGTTATTATTTAATTATTAAATAATATTATTTTTTATTATTACTTTTATTTGTTAAGTATAAAGTTGTATATTTAGATTTTTTAGTTTTATGTACATAAATACATTTATAATTTAAAACCTTTTTTTTTTTTTCTAAAAAAATTAAAGCACGATTCAATATTTGATTGCAATTTTTGTTATAAATGTTAAATTAAGGAATCAAAATAATAAATTTTAACATTAAGTAAAAATAAATGGCATTTACTAATATTTTCATATTGCTATTCAGATTTGCGTATGAATTATTAAGTTTTTAAAACTATATAATTTAACTCTTTTATTCGCTTCTAAAATGCGAATATTAGTCCTCAAGAATACTCTATAAATGATTGAATGGGTTTTGTTTAGAAGAAAATCTTTAATTTATTTAAATTCCTTGAAAATTTATTCATTTACGTTTTTTTTTGTAATTTACTTCTATTTATAAAATGGAAAATAATTAAATATCATGGTTTTAAAATCAGCAACAGAAATTATTGAAAATTTATAACAATCATTTTTTTATAAATTGAATCTAGCTTTAATTATATAATTTTGTAAAATAATTCTACAAATGTCCTAATTTTCAATTTTTTTTTCTTATCTAAATAATTTTGATTATTTCGTGTTTATTAATATTTGATTACTTACCAAAATAAAAACTTGCATGTATAGACTTCACTTTTGAATCGTCGATCAATTCGTGATTATTAATACCGAGAGGGTCGAGGTTTGCAATGTTATGTCCCCGAATCTACATGTTTTTTTTTTTATATTTTTTTTAATTTAATGTTCAATTTTTTGTTTTACAAAATTTCAATTTTTTTTTTGATTTTTAATTTTAAAATTTCATATTTAGATTGGTAATTAAATTTAGAAAGTTGATGTTAAAACATAAAAAGCATAAAAAGAAACAAACAAAAATATGAAAATTTTTGTTTTTGAAATTTCATAAATTAAAAAAAAAAACATAATTTGTTATTATTAGTATAAAAGAGAATCTAAAATCAAAATTTAAAATAATAAAACTTAAACTATGTTATTACACAAAATAAAAAACAAACAAAACAGAAAAATTAAATGAATAACCCTAAATTTATGTATAAAGGTATCCAATCAATTCCTTAAATTAAACATGTACATAATATAGAGAATTTAATGCAAGTTAGTTGATTATCAAAAACTTTAGTTATAATATTAAATTGTTATTCTTAATATTAAGGCATATTATTTTTAAAATACTCTTATTATACATACTTATAATAATAATTTAGAATTTTGTGTAAGATTTTAGAATATTAATGGTGTTTTCAAAAATAAGAAAAAATATGTGCAAATAGCTTTAAGCAATTTAAAATAACATGTATTGTATTAATTAGAAAAATATTACTAATATTTCCATGCTTTAAATTTAAATTTAATAAAAATATTTTTTTGAATGCTACCACAAATTTAGTTTTAAAAAAAAGCAAACCCAAAATGAAATTATAATATCATGTATATAATGTTGGTATCTATTATTTCTTTATATCGCATTTAAATTGCAAAAAAATTATTAAAGATCTTGTCAAAACCCTATTTTATAATTTAAAAAAAACCCAAAGATTGAATTATAAAAATTTTATCAAGCTTGTACGAATTGGAAAATAATTTTAAATAATTTTAAGAATTTAAGTATTAAATATACAATATACTGACACCTGAAGCGAACAGTGAAATTTTTGTAATAACAATATACGTATTAATCACTGCAATGATAAAATCCCTGAATAATTTATTCACGAGAAATACAATTAACGTAATAACTCTCAGCTTGCTTGATCTTAATCACTTTGTAGTTTTCCTATTTACGTTATTTGAATTGTGTATTTAATTTAATACTCATAAATATTATACAGATTTTGAGGAATAATGACATTAAAAATATAAAAATAAATTAAAATATTAAGAATAATCAATTTTCAATCAAGAATTGAATATCAAAATAAAACAAATCAACCATAAATAAAATAAAAATTATCAATATAACATAAAACAAAATTTTTCAATGAAAATTTCCCAATTAATTAATGATAATATGAAAATTTTATGATTTTCCCTTAGTTTTTATTTTTATAAATAAAATATGTACGTTAAATGTGCATGTTTTTATTTCAATTTAAGGGAAATGTCTTGATTTGTTTTTTAATGCAAATGTTTAAAATGAATTTTATATACATAATTAATTTTTTACAAGGTATTTTGCTTCACAGCAATTTTTATCATATACAGCATAATTTTAAAAATCTAATGTAAGGTTAAATTTTAAAAGATTCAGAATCGACTGTAATATTAAAATCAAAGAAGACACTTTAATATTTTGAAATAAGTGTCGCAATTAATATTTTTTTATAAAAATAAAATTAATATTAGAATTTAGAATTTGTATATGTATAAAGGAAACTTTAGATATGAATCATTTTATGGCCTATATATGTTGCATATCTTTTGCCATCTTAATTATTATGAAGGTAGAGATATTATGAGAATAAAAATATTTCTACATAAGTTTACTTCAAATTATGGATATAATAACTATTATACAAATATTTAAGTAGATACTACTATTATTAATTTACTAGAACAATGTAACGTTTTAATCTAAATACATGATAAATTATTATAAATTAAAATTATTGCAAATTAAATTATATTTAAAAAAGAATAAGTCGAATATTAATTTTTTCTTTTCCACAACAACGAAATGTGATTCATTCACTTTCTTTTTGTTTTATATATTGTTAATATTATTAAAATTTTAAAAAAAATAGAAGTCAATATTACATAATTAATATACGTTAACATAATTATACAAGTACAAAAGAGAATAAAAGAAAATTTTTACTATATAAGAATTACTTTTTTTTCATAATAAAAAATCAATTTTTTATTAAATTTGCATATCTTTTTTTAATTGTGTTAAATAAAATATTAATGGCATTTTTTTTTTCTTTCAAAATAAATAATTTTTTTAACGCTCCGAATTTCAACAGTGTCTTTTTTTATCATCGATGTTCAAAAAATATAAACACATTTCTAGTTTAATAGTAAATACATTTATATATATAGTTAAAATAATATTCAAATATAATTTTAATATATTGCATTTATACATTTTATATGGGAATTTTATATAATATAATATTATAAAAATATATAATGTATATAGATAAATAATAAATTAACGTAATAAAACAATTATATTTTTTTTATTGTTTTAAGAAAGAAGAAACTTTACCCTGTATGAACCAACTATGTTGTCTAAGTACTCTCTCATTACCGCGACGTTCAACGCCATCTTTACCGATAACTGTTGGTGCATTTGTAATTCCTAAAGGATCCAATACGGCTGCCAAATGACCGCGTTGCTTTTATTGTTTTAATTTTTATTTTATTTCATTATTACCATTATTTATTTATATATTATTATAAAAATTTTGAGTAATTTTGATTTTGTTATTATATAAAATTTAATTTAATTATACAATTTAATAATTTGTTACAAAAAATAAGGTATTTTTGTTTGTACCGACTTTTTTTCCTAACTTTAATTTTATTTAATTTTCACCTTTAATTAACCTAATTTTGTTTCTTTTTTTTTTCTTTTTCTAAAAAGTTATTTTATTTTCAAGTTTTATAATTGGCAAAAGAATATTTTTATCTAACAAGTCCGCGTATTTTATTTTTTAAATACATATATATGTACATATGTATATTTGTCAAAAATGAAAAAAATAAACAATTTTAAATTATTCAAAATTGTCAACAATAGGAAGAGAAACAGAAAACTAGAGGGATTCTTTTAAAATTTCCTTTTAAAAGCGTAATCATGCATTATTTTAATTTTGTTAGTATTGTGTGTGCGTGTCATAAAATTGTTATATTAAATTTATATAACAATTTATTGTCAATACAATTTCCTCTTCAACTTAATAGAATTTTTATATCTTAGCAATTTCTATTTTAAATTATTTGGGGTCTAACATGTTTTGAAATTTGATTATCTAATTAAAATATTTCAAAATTAAAAGCAAAAAATAACTTTTAATAAATTAATAAAAACGGATAATTATGTATGAACATGCTTAAATTTTAAATTTTATTTTTCAAAGAAAAATAATATAAATGTGAAAATTATAAAAAAAAATATAATTATAAGTGAATAAAAAATAATTATATTACCCGTTTATGTGGATATGATAATAGTAACTTACATTTTTATTTATATAGTTCTATAAATTATTTTGGAGGAATGATAAACAGTATAACCAAATATTTTCCAATTTAATTTAAATTCTTTTTTAAAATACCAATTATTAAATTTGCTGGTTTTTTTTTATTTTTAACACTAATATAAATATACTATTCTAACAAATGAAGTAGTTATACTGTTTGAAAATTAAAAAAATGCATTACCATAATTTTAGATGCATTCGGGATATGTGACTATAATTACTTATCTTTGTATTTTAATGTTTTCATGTATATTTGTGTATGTATATTTTAATGAATAATTTTTTTTTAAAAAAGTGATTTCTTTTTCAACATGCAATTAATTAAAAAGAAAATTTTATTATAATTTTCATTACACTATAAAATGAATACATTAAACAAATTTCAATATGAAAAATAATCAAATTATAAAAAATAATTTCTTTTTATACGATTTTTGCTATTATGAAAAATTGTGATAAATAAACATCTAAAATATATCTTAAATAATGTAAGATTCATCTTAAAAAAATTGTTACATTATTAAAGAATTATAATTATTTTTCAATAATAATATGATACATGTATAATATAATCAATTTCTGTGATATTCTATATATTATATTATTTATATTCAAATTATTATGTATATTATTACGGTATATAATGTTTATATATAATTAATATGATATATTTATTTGTACATATTTTGATTACTCAATACAATTTGAATCTTGCAGAAGAATATTGTTTTAAATTAAGAATATTATTTTAAATACTTTAGCATTCCTATCTTGAAAAACTGTTTTTCTCGTTTATTTTAGTATTTAGTATAATTTATAATTATGTAACGCTTATGAAAGTGAAATTTAACTACATACATATGTTTTTTAGAAAATTAGGAAAAACACGTTTTACGCACTTATGTATTTACGTCATTTAAAATGACAAAAAAAAGCACTTAAAATTTTTAATTTTAAACTTTTTAATAATAAGAAATGTGGTATTTAAGCTGAAGTGATAATTTTCCAAAATCACAAAATGAATTAATTGGATAGACGAGGCTCCTTAATGTCTAATTAAACATACTTAACAAAAAAAAGTGAAAACAAAGCTAAGCTAAAATTTACACTATCTTTAAATAATTAATTAAATACTATACGTTTTTTATGTACTACTAATACTGTTAAAATAGCCACATCATAAGATTACAGATTTGTTAAACAAAATAAAATAAAATGCTTGAAAATTGTTTAGAAAAATTTTAAGTGCACGAATTTTTATTAAAAACTTTTTTATTTTCTGTAATTTGAATAATTTTTCAATGTATTCAGTATGTTTGAATATATTGTAAAAAGTATATTTTGTATATTGTATTTTGTTTGTGAATTGTATATAGATAAAGAATTTTAAAAATTTAACGAAACATTTAAACTTAATAAAGGAAAATTTTTCGAAAGATACAATCCCCTTACAAGTTTTTAGTGAAGATAATTAAGGTAATGATTAAATATGTAAAAAAAAAACAATTGGCAGATTGTAATAAAACGTAGATGTGCACTGTGCAATTATTGAAGAAAAGGTCTTTTTAATTTTATTCATACTTTTATATACTCTTATATTATAACATAAAGTTTTTAAGATCAAATATATAAACTAAATACGAATTTAAAATTAATCAATTATGAAACTAATTTAAATTTATTAAATTTAACTACATTAATTTCTATGATAAAGAAAATTTAACTACATAATTTGTTATTATTTTGATTCTGCCAATAATCAAAGTCCAATTATAATCAAAAATAAATGAAATATGAAAGTCATAATATGACTTTTAAAATAATGATTCAAAAAAGTTAAATTAAAAACTAAAATTAAAAAAAAAAGAAATTAAATAAAAGTGCCTTAAAACAAAATAATGAAAATTTTTGGAAAATGTCGGCATTTTTATGGAAAAATTAAAAAAAAAGGGACAAAAAAAATTACGAAAACGTAAAACGAACTATACAATATAATAATATTGACTACTGGAAAATCGTAAAATAATAAAACAACATAAATTCATTATAACAGCTTATTTTTTAAATATAATTCTTCTATGTTACTTTCCAGTGAAAAAAAAAATTTCATAAAACAAAATTGATATAATTTATAAAAATATAAATTGTGTATATGATTTATTCCAAATAACGCAAAAATTATATTATGTAGATGCTCTATTAAACGGCTGAAAGGTATTCAAAATAGTAGAATATGAAGATATATGTATAACAAAAAAAACCGACTAAGCATGTTACATAATAACATATACATATTTTATGAGATAGCGAATTTGTTTTTAAATTATAAAATAATTTCTAAAAACAAAAAATTAAAACTTTGTTTAAACTATAAAAGAACAAATTTATGTTGCTAAAAAAAATATTTTAAAAAAAGTAATAAATTATAAAATAAATATATGTATCAATAATTAATATTCAATAAATTAAATATATCTTATAAATTTTAAAATAATGCATGAATAATTTTGAAAATTTTATAGAACAATGTAAGTACATAATTATTATTATTTCTTAATAATTTTTTTTTATTATTTCAAGATTTTCCAACAATCAATATTTTTGATCCAAAAAAAAAAAAAAAATTATAACACCGTTTTTAATTTGCTCAAAAAATTCCTGTTAGATAAAAAGAATAGGAAATCTATTACCTGATAACTTCTAATAATATTTTGTACAGCTAAATGATCGTCAATAGTTTTATCATCAGCACGTGGACCTAATCCAACAGCACCACCAACAAATTGTGATACTGGTAAAGTATTTCTAGAAGCTGGTGATAAATTTGGTGGTGGCGCATATTCATTATTACGGAAATAGGCATCCCATGACTAAAAATATTATAAAAACAAAATTGTAATAAATTTCATTTCAATAAATAAACTTGAAAACGTATAATATAATTTTTGTTGCTAAACATACTCTATGAACTGAAGATGGGTCTTGAAGCCATGAATTATACATTTCTTCTATATAGCTTGTTGTCGTGCCATTGATAAATGGTTCTGCAGCTGCTGAATTATATTTTTTAAGAGCTGTAACTGCAGCAACTTCTCTTTTCAACTAGAAAATACAAAATAAATTTACTTTAATATTTTAAAAATATTTAAAATCAAAAGATGTACAATATTTACGTTTATAGAAAAACAAAAAAAAAAATAACTTACGGTATTTTTAAGAGGACCTCGTAGAAGCCAACTTGCAAAACTTTGATGACCTAATGGTATTGCCGCCATGGCAAAAGCTGAATTAGCACGATGCATTATTTAATCTAATCTGAAACAAAAAAAAAATAAAATTAATTATTGATATTTTGTGAATTTGAAATTACATGAAATGCGTATGTAGCAAAATTGCTTTTGAAACATTTTAAATCTATAATAAATTATAATAAAAGTACATATGTACTTAATAAATCTAAAACAATTCCACTAAGCCCAATTTTATAAACAAGGAAAATTAAAAAAAAAATCACACTCTTTAATGCTTTTAAATTTGCACTCTTTTTTGTAAATTTTCAATATTTATGTATGTATAAATTCTTAGGCAATATAGCTTTCTGTTTTATATTGGAAATTGGATTTCAACGACATACCGCAATATAGGAATTATAAGAATGCAGTATTTCTGCAATTTCAATGCCTTCAACAAAAATTGCTTTCTTCCAAGTATGTAAAAGTAAGAAATTGTTATCATTGACTTGGAATTTTTTTTACAAATATGAAAACCACTGTACTATTATTCTTAAGCAAATATAAAAAATTTACACACTTATATTTATAAAAACAATTTGATACAAAATGTTATCATCATTCATTTTTTTTATTTATTTATTTAATTTATTCATTTATATACCTAAAAGTAGATGTTTTTATTTATTATTTCGTGTGCGAAATTTATATAGTCTTAAAAATATTTTCAAAAATATTTTCATTTTGTTTTAGTTTATTTTAATTTTTCAAGAATTATAAAGAAACTAATGAACGTAAACTGGGCAAAATAAATGTTATTTTAAAATATTTTATAATAAATAAATGAATTAGAACTTTTTTGTAATTACTTAATATGTAAAAATTATTACCGGATGTTTTACCTTAATTTAATTTCTTTTCTTCAATTCAATTGTGAAAATAAAACAAACCCGTATATTATATAATATTTTCTCAACCCTTCGTATATACCTCTTTATAATTATGTCAAAATATTTTATACAAGTTGAAAAATTAATAATACAAGTGAAATTTGACACCGTATACAGTAGAGTCTGTAAGTGAATTTAAATTTTAATATAGAAAACACGCTTTTTTTCTTTCTTATTATTGTTCAAACAAATATGAACTGTTCATGAATGAATTAGTTTACTGACCAGACTGACATTGAATTAATATTTTTTTTAAATGCTAATAGATCAAAATATAAAATGTAAATAAAAAGCTGTATAAATAATAATTATATTCTGTGCTACTCTATATTTACTAACGCAACAATTTTTGTTAATAACAATTCTAATTAAGATAATTTACTTTTTCTTCTTCTTGTTTCATTACTAATTAGAATCAAATACATAATATAATATATAATATTATAGAAATAGAACAAAAACTACTTTATAATATTGTATATATATTATATATATGATAATGTATGATAATTTTTTTTTATAAATATAAGTATACTTATTAAAATTTTGTTAAATAAACAAGTTGAATCCGAAAATATTTAGTGAATATAACAAAATCTAGTTTTTTTTTTTGTTTTCAGGTCATAGGGTTTTTAAACAATACTCAAATGATTTGTTCGATAATAGCAAAAATATCAAGTAATTTTGGTGTACGCATATGTATGTATAAAAAATGTATTGTCTTATTGACAACAGAAAATTAAAGCATATGGCAGCTTTATTAAATGCTTCCACTGTGAATACAAATAAAATGCACAAAACTTAAAATGAATCATTAATTTTTTTGGTAAGAATAATAAAATTGTTAAAAATAATATAATAATTGCTTATTGCATTAGTAAAATTCCGTGAAGCCGCTTACCTCAGATTTGGCCAATTTTATTCATCAAAAATGAAAACAATTTATTGTAAACTACAAAAACTTTATTATGTCAAAACCATTGAGTTCTATCTTGAAGTTCCCCATTGATAAAACAAAATTACAAAAAGTGTTATACAAGTGTTACTCAAGGTGGCATTTCAATACTCACTATATTATATTATGTTAAAAACAATATTTATATTTCGTGGATCTTAAGTGTTGCCACAGAATTAGAAATTTAATTATTTGAAAATGTTTCTATTACAGTATAACAGAATAATAAATGATGAAAGGTAGTAAATGTGATTAAAAATTTTTTTTATGATAGTCTTACTGATATATTATAAATGTATGTATAACAACATTGAGGAAACACGATAGAAACAAGATAACTTTTAATCAATCGTAGTAGATTGTGAGTAGATATATACACAAACATTTGAATGACGCACGCTATATATGACCAAATTTAAAAGTAACTTTATTTATTTTTAAAATTTTGATAATTAACTAATAGTTAAACAAACATTTCTTAAAACTACCTACAATTCAGAGAATAATAAATTGGAATAAGTGTGAATTTTTTTTTTACGCTTCAAAAATTCAAATTCTGTACATATAGAAGGTCAAACGCGATTTGTTATCAAAGCAGTTACTTATATTGAATAATAATATAATGTGGAAAGAAATTCGGTGGGCTAAATAGTTATAATATATTTCGTAAAAATAAAATTATGACCCCAATTATATTTCGATAATAAATAGATAAGTATTTAGCGCGAAAAGTATACAAAATTATAACTATGAAAAATTACTTGGAACTAACAGAGGAAAGAGTTAACTGGAAAATAGCATTATTAAAATTATAAGTCCTAAAAATAATACTTCCTTTACGATAATTACTAAAAAATTTTCCGAAATTTATACCATTTATAGGTTGTATGCATATACGCCTAATTATAAATTTATACCATTGGAATATGAAAAGCAAAAAAAATTCTATAATATTAATAGAATAATTTTTTATTTTTTTGTTTAGTTGTTTAGCTCTCTCAAATGCCTGTCAATATTTTTAAAACGTGTTGACTTTAATTTAGTGTCATAAAGATTCCCTGACATGATCGGATAAATAAAAAATATCAAAATTAAAAACATACAAAGAATTCAAAGAAATTCAAAATGAATTTTTTTTTTAACTTAAACAATTGGTTTTGCCTTATGGCGTTTTAAATATTGTCTTAAAATAAATTTGTATAATATTTTTATTGTGCATTTATTTATTTTAAATATTTAAAAATTTTTAAAAAATAAATAAGTAAAAATGGGATAATTATAGAAATGTGTACATAAGAGTTGTGGAAATACCTGTATTTTCTGAATAAATTAATATTAAAAAACTACGTGACGAAAAAGAAAACGTGAAACAAAATCGCTATATCAATATTTACATTAAAAATTTTAATTATAATGAATAATTTTAAAAAATGCCCGGCATTATGTTTAAAAAAAAAAATTAATAAAAAAATCTCCAGGAATCCACCAATATTTGTTCAATTTTGCTCAAACCTGAGCCAATTTTAGTTTACAACAAAAGTTGATTGCATGCTATATATTAAATGTTAATTGTTTCTAAGAGCCAATGGGCCCAGAAATTTATTGTATTGATTCTAATTAAAATTCTTTTATATATTTTATTTTTATTAATTAGAAATTCTACAATTACACATTATGTTAATGTTTTACACAACATTCAAATACAATTTACATACGTGAATAACAATAAAAATTAAAAATGTTAAACAAATCAAGTACAAATCACAGTTCAATGTTTAATTAAAAGTCAGAATAAGCCGATTATTGTCATTACACATTATTATTAATTCAAATATGAAGTAATTTTCTAGGTCATTTACCCCACTGTTTTCTTTTTCGTTTTTGTTTTTAATTAAATATTAATACATATGTAAAGAATTTTTTTAAATATATTTTTGTTTTTGTTTTTTTTTTTAATATTGTCTAGCCGACATAATATTTTAATATTGGTTGATATGATAAATTAAATAGGAAATACGAATTTAGTTGTAATAATGTAAATATTGCAAAATATACATTTTAAGTAGTGTGACAGTTCAAGATAGCAAACTTTTGTATATCGATGGTCCCATACAAAACTATGCCAAGTTAAAGATCTTAGTTTGGCGGAAAATCAATATGAAATTAAGAAACCCGTTGATTACGCGTTTGTGTCTAAGATTTTCGAATTTTATGAAAAAATACCACAAATTTTTTTCAGTTTATAACTTTAATAATTATTTTTGAAATTATTTAAGAGTCAGCTGAATTTAAGCTGCACAACTGTAGCATTTTATGATAAAACAATCCTACTATTTTCTTTGAACGTTTTTATGACAAAATTTTTTGATGTTATGTATTGGTATAAATAAACTTGGCATGTAATTCTAAGACTTAAATTATATTTTTTTACATTTCGTATTTCAACACACACTTCAATCAAAAAAATCCCAACTATCTCTTACTATCTCCCACATACTTGCCAAAAACTAAACCGTTACGAAAATGCTAAAACATTTTAGCTTTTAACAATATTTTATTCATAACGTATTGTGATAATTATAAGTTAGCATATACTCTAGCAAAAAATAAAAATACATATATAAAAACCTGATAACTTAAATTGGATAGAAGAAAAAATCTAAGTTGACTTGGCATATTTTTGCATTGTGATAAGTTGTGCTTCTTGAAAAATCAAAACTGTCTTTAGGGTAGTCTCCATTTTTAGGTGTCAGTCTGGATTGGCAATTTTTGATAATCGTGAAAAGTAAAAAATTATGTTTTAATTAGACTAGTTATCATGTCTGAAAATATGTACCCAAATTCTACCAGTTTTTTAGTTATTGTTTTAACATAATTGTAACAAATTATGTACACATACGTTATAACAACAAACTTGTATTAAGTGAACTTTGAACTAGAAAAATCAACTGGGAATTTTTTAATAAAATAAATTATTGACTCATATAGTAACAGATTATTCAAAAGATAATACAGTAAATATGTATGTACGTGTACAACCAAATATTTTAATAAAAAATTTCCATATTTAATAGAATCTAAAAATTAACAAATTCAGGTTATTTAATTCATAAATTTTATTGTTATATTGACTTTAAAAAAAAAAAAAGAATAATTTTAAAAACTTTATTGCTTCATCAC